GGGGGGGGGGGGGGGGGGGGGGGGGGGATCTGGGACTTGTTTACCCGAGGAGTGGGAAACCCGGGAGCGCAACCCCCCACACCCCCGAACCCAGCCTTGAAGCCAGGACCTTATTTACCCGGATTTGCGAAGTCGTTGGGTTAATTGACAGCACAATACGGCCACCAGGAGCAGGCAACAATCCCCGAATCGCAGCCTGGGAAGAATGGGAATAAAATCGCCGTTAGTGCATCGCAAACCTGGCAAATAGGATCACCACCCCCCAAGGTCAACCTTCGCGCTTTCTGACTTGCAAAAAAAAAAAGGTGAAAAGCTGACTTGAATGCCTTGGTGTCCCCGACCCAAGCGATCCTCGTCAAGTTCACGCCGGAAGGCTGCACAAGCTGGGAAGAATCGACGCGTCGAGGATGACGAAAGTTGCAGGAAAAGTTCCGGGATCGCCACGCGCGCGGCGCTCAGAAGACACGGGAACAATGTCGACATTGTTGATTGTTGCGAAATTGCGCTCGTATTTACATGGTTTAGTCAGCTCCGGAAGGAAAGAGCCGCACCGGACGTAAATAATAAAAACGGAAAAAAGGGAACGGAGACGAACCGAACGGAGATGATGTAACTATTCAAGACTTCGCGCCGGCGTCCTTGTTCTTCGATGTACTTACATCGCCCGAGGTTTCCTCCGACTGCATTATCTGCATATGATACTGTTTCTCATGCTCGTCGTCTGTCTGTCTGTCTGCCTCAGTCCTAAAAATCATCGTCCTTCCTTCCTTCCGAAGCGGATTCTTCTGCCCCGACCGCATTCATTCCTATGCTTCCGTAATCCCGCACGGTGCCTTCTGACCACTCGAATGGAATGTCTCACTCGAAATCGTCAAAAAATACTCCACATGCATCTGAACCATTCGTTGTGCAAGCTAATTGCCCATTATAACAAAAGCCCCCGGGAAGTGATCTAAATCCGTGGAAAAATAAGTCGCCGAAAATATCCTCGAAATCTGCGCGCTGAAGGTTGAAGGTATCCATGAGAAGATAAAAGAATTCATCTCGAGAGCGACGCCATTTTTCTTAATTACATTATTCGTTTAAGAAGCACAAAAATCATCCAGCATGTTCAGCAATGAGAAACCGAAATAAGAGCCTGAAATATGAAATTGAAGCTTTTGCGGATCGAATGTAAGTTTAAAAAAGAAAAAGAAGCGAAAACTTGCTGGGAGTTTCATTTTTGTAGCCGCATAAAATATAGAAAATGTCTGGAACTATTTACATTTTTGGGTCTTCAAGGCTGACTGGATGCAGTATACAGTACAGTATTATTTTTCCGGCGGGCACAAAGGCAAAAGTAACAGAAAAGAGACGACATATCATAACATTTCATTAAAAATTACGGGAAAATGCCAGCTGAGGTCTTACAAGGACAGAATTGACACCAGATTCAATATGAACAAAAACGTGATGACAATCACAAGGATTTCAGTCACGATTCCGGCTAACGAGATTTCCCGAATAGTTCAATCAGATGAAGAACTAGCGTTTCAAAGAACATCACTTCCTCATTATTCCTCGAGGAGGATTACATGCATCAAGGTCAACTGTATTTGACCTAGGATGATTCAAAAAGTGCTAAACGCAACCAACCCGATCCCATACATGATCCACTGCGCATGAGGCAATTGCGGAACGACTGCTAAGAAAATTCGAGATCCACACATTTTAGAGCAATTCGAAGTTTCACACAGATGAAACTGGTCAATTTTACTCTGAAAATTGTCCAATGGAATGCATAATTTCTCCGTAAATTCCCCTTCGTCCAATTTTATCAGCATCGATCATCCGTGCATTTATTTGGATGCGCGTACTTCTGATGGAATCCAGACATCCTGCTTATCACTCCAGCAGCTTGATTTTACGGGCAACTCAGTTTAGTGGCTGCAGAGTCACAAATCTCCGAGGTAAAAATATGCTTATTTCGACAGATTCGACCCACCATTGTCGGCAAAGTTTATTTGAAATTATTTTGAAGCAGGGTACTGGGACACAGGATCGCCAAGGTTGTACAGTATCATAAGCTCGTCGTTGAACACTCACATTGCCCAATTTCTTGTTTTATAGATCCATCCGGAGCAGAGAAAGTGAGAAAATGCATCTTTTTATAACTCCCGGAATGCAATCCGTGGATATTCCGTCGCTTGCGCGGAAAAGACGGCTTCCACGAAGAAAAGGGAAATGAAACAGTGCAATAGAAGAAGAAGAAGAAGAAGAGGAAGAGGAGGAGGAAAAGGAGATGAAGATGGAAGAAGGACTAACCGCATTTGTCGCAAATGGAGTTGGAGACGACCTTCTGGTTGCGCTTGTTGACGTTGGCCGGCGGAGCGAAGGCGGTGAGGTTGAGGTTGTCGAGCTGCGCGAAAACGTAGTACTCGCGCCCAGGGCGCACGGAGGCGGCGACGTAGCAGGCCACGGAACGTCGCCGGTGGCGACGAGGGTGCTGCTCGACGGCGCCTCGGGGCAGGGGTTTCTTGAAGGTGAGCCGGACTTGGGAGCGCAGCGGCGGCGGCATTGCGCCCTTCAGCACGGCGTTGACTTGGAACGTGACGCCGTAGAGTCCGTCGGCACCCGGGTTCCCGCGACCCCTGGCGCGGCCCAGGAACACCACCGGCGCCATGACGACGCGGGACTCAAGGTTCGGCCAGTGCCCGGCGCCGCAGTCGCCTCTCGAGCCGGCGAGGAACACCGTGACCAGAAACAACGACGCAAAGTTCACACCGCCGGCACTGCGATCGGGTCTGATCTTCATTATGTTGCCACTGCGACGGCGCCTGGCATTATTTGACACGCGCGCCGCCTCACCGACGCCACCGATTGCCGCCCATTGCTCGCGGAAAACTGCCAAAGTTCCTCGACGACCCGCTGCTTCTCTCGCGCTGCCCGCACCATGCTTCTGTCGTGACTGAGCCGTCGCGCGCCCGGGGTTCGCCGCTTTACGAAAACGCGGAGCCCGGCGGGTGACTCCGCAGACGAGGCCCCGACCGGCTGGCTCCTCTCCCGACTCCCGCCCGCCAGCGCGAACAGAGGAGGACCTCGTCCGGCCTGCCACACACACACACACGCGAACTCTTTTCTTCTCTGCTCTGCTCTGTTCTATTCTTCTCTATATGCCATTCATATTATGCTCTGTTTACTTGCTATATTCTGCTCTAAATGCAGTGGGGCCCCATCAACCAATGGAAGTTCAAACATATTTGGACAATTCAACTTAGGGACATTTGAAACTCAAAAAGTATACCCCAACATTAAGAAATTGTCTCAAGATACAGACAGAAACTTTGGAAACATTTCTAGATAAATTGTAAAAATTTCTTTATCAAAACTTCGAAATCTCTTGGGCAAATTTAGCCATGTACAAGGTATAGTCACAAAAAAGATGGTACTGCAAGAAGAGTTTATTCTAATTCATCATTTTTTGTTTCTTTTTTCGGATTGTTTTTTTCCATTAACTGTGCACAGTATATAGCAGTAATTGTGTTTGTTCTTTGTTTTTGCGCTTCCTTGCTGCATACCAAAAGATCAGATTCTGTGTCTTTTTTTTGCACAGTTATTATCTGTATCTTGAAGTTGAAAAAAACTATACCCGTTTCTAGTGATTTTTTCCTTATTTTTGATAAATGGGATAACCAATTAAGCATGGTCCTTTTGAAGTCTATACGAATGTGTGATCCAGCATGTTATGTTCCAACATAGGGTCTAGTTCCAAGCAATAATTATGCATGCATCTCCGGGCCCCACTGCATCTTCTGACATATTCTGTCATACTTTGCTCTGCACTGCTCTCGAGCATCGCCCGCCACCACCACCAGCACCTCCACCACCACCACTGCTCCTGGTGCTGCTGCTTCAGCGCCAAGGTGACCGACCGATCGGCACGATGACACTCGGAAGTCTTCCGGTTTTCTGGAGCACGAAATGAGATGAAGAAAGAGAGACGACGCATTTAAGTTATTGTCTGAAACATACGAGCAGCACACATAGGCCGCTGGAAAAAATGAGTTTTCTATAATTCTATATGACAGCATTAACAAACTGTACAGAACTCGAAAGATTCTTTTGTAGACTGTAGTTCCATCCATGAATACCAGCAGCATATACAGAGGATTTTATCTACGGGAAAAAACGAATCCCTCAGTTTTCTTGCCAAAATGATGTTTTATAGAACTTCCGTAAGTTTCAAATCATCGAGGTGTGATCATTTCTCTCGTTCTTCACTTTTAAAAATTTGCACTTTGAAATTTGAGAAGGTTTTTCAGCGTGTAAACCGCATTTTCCCGGATGCAGTAGGGACAGCATTTATTTTCCTGAAATTTCAGGTCGAACTCCATATTTCAATACTGCATAGAAACGATGCAGGCCGTATCCAGATTCTTGACAATAATTCCTAAAAAAAATATGGTGCAAGGAAATCAATGAAGGCATTTCGGGCAGGAAAATAATGTCTACACGCGAATAAAGGATCAAATTGCGTTTTGTCCCTGGACTTTTCGAAAACAGGTTCTCCGGTATAAGAGGATTATCTAGCTTGGAAGTTTAAAGTACGTGTCAGCAGATTTTATCACGTAAGCAGAGCTTGGTCTTTATACCCTCATTTACTTCGAGACCTGGGCTAAAGTCTCTTTTTTTTTACATGCATTAAAACAATCAGTCGAAATTTGGGACGATTTCTATTTGTGATTGCCGAAAATTAGCCCATTTTTTTCTTCCCAAATTTTCAGAAAACGTTGCTAATGGTACAGAAGTGCAGTACGTGAAATATTCATCAAAATATTAGTTTATCCAAAAACATTTCTCACATCAACGAATGCAAAAAGCTTTAGGAACATTAATAGTGTGGAATGGATCCACATCGCTCAGCGTTTTCACTGTGATGCCAAGGGATCGGAGCAAATGCTTCATCACTCGGCAGTAATGAGTCATCTCTAACCTGATCTCAAAGAATTCTGACAGAAATCTCTTGAAAAATAGGAATGGGGAAAATACTTCAAAACGCCTGCACATTCCTTAGTGTCCAGTTCTCTAACATGTTGCACGAAAGAAGAAGTTCGCTAATCCTGATGGATGCTTTCTTCCCATTACAGTATAAGTTCTCCCATTATGGTGATGAAGAACCGTGTTCTGCAAAATATGGGTTGTAGACCAGTACCAGTCCGCAGAATTTTTTTTCTGCTGACTCGCGAGAAAATTGATTGTGCCTACTGTGAATAAGGAAGTGACTGAATAGTTTTATTTGTTTCTAATTCAAGTGGCTATATATATTTTAGAAAATTTTGTGCTTACTCAGATACCTCCTACGTAAGATCAAAAATAGCTGAAAATGTTTCAAAAAAGTCCACTGATCCATTCAGAAATGATGGCAAAATTACTAACCCAAAAGGTTGATCTAGAATTCTAGATTCTGGACTTTAAGAGCACCGTACTCTGTTAAGGTAGTATTTTGATTATAAGGTAATACACGGATTACATTTTATGAAGACCGAGGCAAGAAAGTTGGTTTTGCTGGGAAAAGCAATTTGATAGGAGCGTCGAAGAAGAGTTGAGCAATTTAAAGGGGTGTTATGATTTCGAGAAAGGGAATTTGGGCCATGCCTCACCCAAAGGGCCGGTGGGTGAAATACTTTGGAATGCAGGTAAAATAATGTACTTGAATCTCCGTGACGATAAAGGGAATACTGTACTGTACTCATAAGGGCCGTGGATCAAGTAAAGTCGAGATATTATAAAACTGCATTTTACGCAGTCACTGGTCTGAGGGCTCTTTTTTTTCTTAAACAGTCGCGAACAGTAGTGATCGACGAACAAATCAAATTCAAGTTTTCTGCGTATGTTAGGATTCCACTGCGCATACATATTTACGACTTGTTTTTGTTCTTGACCAGTTTTTTTTTACGGTACCTGTAATGACTGCTACCAGTGCTAATAGCTGGTGGAAACGAACAAACTTCCGATCATAGCCAAATTATGACGCGTTTGAGGACGAGTTCAATAATGTGCTGATTTGGCGAGTTGGAGTTCGTTTCTTTGTGCAGGTACGAACCGGTTTTCTCCTGGCCCCTACGTCATCGCGTCTGTCGAAGGGCTTCTTACTTCTCCAACGGTCGACTCAGTCATTCACTTCGGTTTTCGCACGCCATTAATCTTTTTCCCCGAACCGGATTCTTTTCTCCGCTGTGCAGGTCTAAACTGGTTTTTATTGTTCGTTTCCGTCGATGACCGCTGCTCTTTTGGGAAGATCCCGGTGGATTTCCATCGCCCTTCGGTACTTCCTTTTTTGCTTCCGTTTAAGCTTAACTCTTTAGAATAATCATGAATTGATTATCAGCGAGATATTTTGTAACAGTAGCGCGTGTTGAACTCAAAGTAAGTATGCAAAATAATACTTTGAATCGGTGTAACGTGAGACGCACTTTCTTTTTATGAGTTGGAGTACGTGGAAAAATCATGCGTTTTCAAGTCTAGACGTCTGGATTTACGCAATATTTTAAAGCCAATTACTGTAGATGAGCAGAATATTTAAATTGAAAATACTGTACTGCACTATGATACAGTGATGTTCTCATACTTCGGCTTTAATAAGGAAACGAATGTGCGGGTGTGAATCATCCTTCGGGAAACTTGATTCCACCTCCAAATTTTTAGTCTCGAAACACATGGATCATTTTTGTGTTTACTGTGTGCAGTACTTTACTAAACAGAATGCGCCAATTCTTTGGGAATTTTCTACTTCTGAATTTCTTTATGAGCTGAGTTTCCCTCGTGATGCTTTCTCTTGACGAGAGGCTCAGGACCTAGTTTCCTCATTCGAGGGAACCGAAATCGTCAAGCATGACATGAAAAACGCCGTCGTCAGGTGGTTGTGGAGATATGGAATTGACGACAGCGCCTCTTTGCTCTCAGCGTCAGATGAAGAAAACGTGGGTTTCGTGGGTTTCCTAGAAACCCTGGTTTACCATGTGGGATGGAAATTTCCCCGCCAAGTGCGTTTCTGTTGTCGGGAAAGTTGGCGTAAGCTCACGTCATGAAGTACTTGTCGCAGCAGAGCGAAACGTGTTCATCACGAGAAAAGTGTTCGGGGTAGAGCGACAAGAATGCGATTAACACGCCGGAGTTCGCGCGTGCTTCTCGTTACTATTCCGATCATTTTTACGCGCTCTGCCTGTCGCTCTAAATCCGAGAGGATGATCTCGGCTCGATGTCTATCTTCATTTTTTTTTTTTTGCAATATCGCGACGCGTTTCGGTCTGTGGAGGCCAGAGGAGTCCCACAATTCTTTGGGCCTCGTTTCCCTTCGCGACAGTTAGTGACTGACAACTGGTCGCTTTGTGCGACTTCTGAATATAGCTTCTCGTGGCACCCACCCACTGCTCGTGCACCCCGGCTGAAATCCAAGGATCCCTGTCCAAATCGTGAGTGCGACATTATTCCGTTCCTAAAATTATTTTGCTCGAGCGACAGCCTTAGCCAGCTCTCAGAATCATTTTCCGAACACACCAGTGACCTCTGTCGGTGTGCTGGGAATTGAACGGTTTTCACATTGGATATTTTGAGTTTATTTTCATTTTCACTTTAGTTTACTGTATATTTAGTAAGTTTGAATCGTCAAAGAGGGTGGAATCGCATCTTCTCTTCTATCAAACTTTGCGTTTCTTTCTCTATGCAAGGACATGCGTAGAGTTCAATGGCATATCCGCTTAAGTGAGTGTCTTATTCAGGAATTTCAAGAAAAGCAGGATCTTTGGCACCTGCCAAATTGGGACGCAATTTATATTCATTTGTATAAGATCTAAGGATGAACTGCAGTTTCTAGTTCTGTTTTCGCTGAGTTCGCTTGGCTTGTTCGTATATGCATGGTGTGACATGACTACTGTATAGAAATGAGCTTTTATCTGTTTTGTTTGCACGTTTTTGGAGCATCAAAATTCACATAGTAATCAAAATATGTATTAGAAGAGTCAGGCGCTTGGTCAATTAAGCGTTCATAAAAAGACGGCTGGTCATGCAAAAGACGGCTGAAAGTCGTTCGTTAGATCCTAATAATTCAAATTCGTATAGAAAAAAAATAATTACTGTGCATGTGTTAGATGCCTTTCAAAAGTCCTGTAAATCTCAACAAAGTTGTTTCTGTGAAATCAATCAAGACTTGCATTTTACAGCAATTTTTCTTGATGTTTTTCTAATCTCATTCTATCCCAATAAATATGATAAATAATTAAAGTTGTCCGAGTTGTTCGGGTTGTCCAAGTGATTAGTTGTTCGGGTGACAGAAATTAGCAGGTAATCATCGTTTCTGGTATTTTTCAGGCAAAGATTATCAAATTGAGAAGATAAGTAAGTTTAAACAAGTGTTTTATTACGTCTCAAACTCTTTTTCGATCCTGACGACCACATCAAGACAGCCTTCGTTAAAGTCGGAATAAACTCCTAGTAACCAAAAATTCCAATAAGCTAGGACGAAACTCATGCAGGTTAATATTGGAGATCCCAGGAATCATTTTTTTTTAATCTCCAGCTTCTAATGGGATTCAGATTTTTAAAACCCACATTGGTTAGCATGGATTCATCCCGTATTCATGCATTTTTTGTGAATTGGAAAATTTGAAGCTACCCAATTTTAAAGGTTGAAATGAGAGTTTTGCTATAAAAAAACACAGAATGAAAAATAAGTTAAAATAGATTTTTTGACACAATTTTCTTATACTCGAATGATTAGTTTGAGCTATAAATCCGTTCCTAAATGTTTGCGAGCGATTTTTCCTATTTATTTCGTAGTAATGTGATTTCACTGATGTGATTGAAGAATAATTCTTCATGCAGAGTTTATCGGTGCGTGATTACAAACGAATTTTAGGAATATAAAAAAAGTGTACAGTAAGTTGAATATCTCAGTCGTCAAAATTGTGCAGAGTAAGAGCATTTACTTTAGGAATTCGAATCATATGAAAAAGCGCAGTATCGTGCTTTGGACGAGTTCGAAAGGCT